TAGGTCTGCCATCATTCCTCTTCATCTTGCAGTTCCTCATACTCAGATACAATCAACCAAGGAACAAAAATATCACATTGCTCATTGTCTGTGCTATCTAGTTACCTACACTACCTATCTAGCTACTTACTATCTAGTTACCTATCTAGTTATCTAGTAACTAGCTATCGAGTTACCTACACTGGTTGCATCTGAACATGGACAGACACCTTTGTTCCATTATCCTCTAAGCAATACAGAGTAATAGTCATTTACATAGAGTTTTCACTACTCTATGGACCACAAATAATCTAGAGAATATTTAAAGTACATAGGAACAGTAAAAAATTATTACGTCTTGAATACTACACCATTTTATATAAGGGACTTAAGTTTCTGCAGATATTGATATCAATGGAATTTTCTGGAACCAATCCCCCAGTAGATACCCAAGTGACAATGCTATCATTAGAATTGAAATTAATCATGATGAGATAAAAATAATACTCCTTAATTTTTTTATTTATTATTGCATGTGAACATGATTGTGTGAGGGAATGTATGCCATGGTACACATGTAGAGATCAGAGGGCAACTTTGTGGCATTGTTTTCTACTTCTACCCTTATGTGAGTTCCAGGGGTCAAAAGCAGGTCACCAAGCTATGTGGCAAGAGCCCTTACCCACTGAGACACATTATGGAGCCACAAAATAATTATATACAAAGATATTTATATTTTTATTGAAAGAGACAAAGTGTGTGGGTAATGACAGGATCCTAAGAATTTGAGTCAGAAGGAATGTGGACCAACCCTGCAGGATAAATTTTGAAAACCTGATCCTGCTTGCATGTCTGTGCACCCTGTGGAGGCCTGATACTCACAGAGGCCAGAAGAGGGTGTCAAATCCTCTGACACTGGACTTACAGATGGCTGTGAGGCTCTGTGGGGGCTGGGAATAGAACTCCAATCTTCAGGATGAGCAGCCAGTGCTATTAATCACCAAGCCATCGCTCCACATCAAGTGTTGTTTTTTAGTGACTACATGAATTTCCTAGAAAAAAAATGAGTGGAAGAATTTTTTTAATTTAAAACAAATCCTTTGAGGGACACTCAGTACTAGGTCACTGAGAAGATCTTATCAAACACAGGGCAGGCTGAGTGAGAGGTGCATCTACTGCTTCCTTATTTACTCGGAACTCACAAGTCAAAAGTCCATAAAGCAGCCACTCCCCCTACAAAAGCCAAGGACACTGGAAAACCTGAATCGGCACTGCTCAGGATCCTCTTGTAAAATGGAACTATGAGAGACACAGGGAAACGCCTCCAGTTCAGTGGGGAGCCCTTAACCCTACCAAATCCGTGGTTTGGCACACTGGCCTGTGTCATGACGAAAAGTCCATCAAAGAGGTGAAAATCCTGTGGCTTCCAGAAAGCTATGGCAAAACGGGAGATCTAGACCAGATGGGCCTGCCTTCTAAGCTTCTCTAAGAATCTTCTCTAATTCTTGCCACCATCTGCCATGTGTGGCCATCGTCCGCTTGTGTTACTGGATGCTACGGTCTCCCAAAACTGTGTATCTTTGTCGCAGGACCCCCAATTCCCAATATAGGCTCAACAAACATCCATTGAATGAGTGGATGAATAGAAGAATGAATGAATGAATGAATGAATGAATGAATGAATGAATACTGGCCATTCAAGTCTACCTTTATGGTACACTGATATGTGAGAAAAGGAACCGTTAAGTCCTGTGATATGCCATTGAAAACTCACTTCCGGGTTAAAACCAATTATACTCGTTGATTATTTATTAAGAAAAAATTGGATCTGCCAGCATATGATCTTCCTTCTTCTCTCTTGATTTCCAAGTCAGCTTAGGCTGAAATTACGGAGACCATGGCAATGAGCCCATAGCTTTACCACTGGCTCTGCCTATGGGTCTGATCCTCTATAAGGTATTGCAGGCAATACAGCTGGACTTTGGGGGTAACACATACTGTGGCAGCCGTGGCTGACTTCCGTTTTGATTCTGCCTCTCCACACAAACCCTGTAGTGGGCACATGTAATCTCCCCCAAAAGAGCCCCGTAGTGGGTTCTGATGGGGAGGGGGAAGCTAGAGTCCTCTTCAACAGATGTCACCATAATTAGACAACTCATTATATCAAAGAATAAGAGAAGGAGATTGACGCGGACACAAATGTGAACATATTGATAGCTTCTCTGCATGTGAGTTTGTGAAATCTTGGAAACTGATTTCCTGGACAAGCCTCAGCGGATGAGTCAGCGCTTGGAGCCTAGGGAGATTTTCCACAATGAAATTCAAGTGCTAGGAAAGTATCTTGAGAGCTTTCCACCCCCACCCCCACCCCACCCCAGGACCATTCCCAGGGCAGCCATGCCTGGAAGCCAGTGTGGCCGTGTACCTGCCTGCTGCCCTGTCCTGCCATGCCCTGGGAGAAGTCTAGTAGGAAGCCTGGGTGAAGGAGGCAAGAAGGTAATAACATGCCCAGGGAGGCAGACTCTGTGGGCAAGGGCTGACGCTGACCCACGGTAAGCCAGCACCATGGCTGCTCCAGTCTGTCCTGAGAGTCCTGGGAACCAACAAATGGCAGGGGGCTCTCCTGGGTTAAAAATTTCCCCTGGGAGGTCCTCACGATTCCCCAGCAAGGATTAAGTGGCCAACACAAGCATTCCCACAGGACCCTGTTCATTTGGCCCTTCCTGCGTCTGAGTTAAGAACTTCCCTGGGAAGGGCCTCCCTGGTTCCCCAGTAAAGACAAAGTGCCCCACAGAAAGTATTCCCACAGGACCTCGTTTTGTTCTGTTGGAGCACCCTGGAATGTGTGTGCCTCTTTGGTGGCAGACCCTTGGTGGTGTTCGGTTTCATGACCCTTGGCACAATGTGAACATTCTAAAAACGGGTAAATCTAAAATACAGAAGGAAATGGTGGATTGGCACAACACACACGTAGTCCTTTGCTGAGCTATTTGTATCCGTGATTCCTGCCCACATCCTGAGGTGGACTTTCCAGCGATGTTCTAGATAATCACTCTGCCTTCAGAAGACCCTTTCCCTGGGGTCCAGATACTAGTCCATACTTAACATTTTTCTCCTTAGAAGAAACTTAGGAGGACAGAAGGTACAAACAGGAAAGGTCATTCCTTCAAGAGTTCCGGGTGCTATGGAATCATATACCAGCGTAGCACTGGAAGGTGCTGTGGACATGTACGATGTGAGTACTTGAGTCACTCTGAAGATATCTCCAGAAGGAATTGTGAGGCTCAGTCTCCTGTCTCTGCTTCCTGGATTGAAGCATAACAAGAGGTTCTGTGCTCCAACTGCTGTCATAGACAGCTTTAATCCACAGACAAACCAAAACGGTGACCAATTTAGATTTGAACCTCAAAACTGAGCTACACAACCCTTTATTTTTTTTAAATCAAATCATAATTTTTACTTACTTACACAGGGGTTATAAACACAAAAAGGCAGGACATGGGGAAAGGGATGACACTGGAGTGTGAGTGTTGGGGGGAATACAGATATCTTTCAGAACAGGGTATTGGCTGAGTGAAGGTTCACTATGACTCTGTCTATGATTCACTTGTCCTTATCTAAGTTGGTATTTTCTGACAAGACTACCTATTTACAAGGTCTATGACTACTCAGGCTGGTAAATTTCCACAAAAGCTGCCTGTTTACAATAGCTTATAGCCATCTGTTTCAATGTTTTTCCACAGAGACCCAAGACTTGGTGTTAGTATACATGTATGACAGGCCTATTGCTGATTTTAGGCCTATGGCTGATTTTAGACCTTCAGTGTATAAACAGAGCTGCCCCTGACATCTCCTCCCTTCTCTAAGTATAGAAAGGCTGTGGCGATTCTAATCTTGCGAAGGCGGGAATAGAGGCCTGACCTCCAATAATTGAAGGGAACTTTGTAATGGCTCTGGTCCCCCTGTTGTTGTCCAGTGAGGCATGAGGACCATACCCATCCCGATGTCTTTTTTTCTGGAGAGGGGATACTTTTGACATTAACCCCTATGCAGTCATGCTTGTCCCTCAGGGAACCCAGAAAGATATTTTAAATTTTATATTCCCTTGCAGTGCTTAGCCTCGCAGCCTAAGTAAGAATTCAGATCACCAGTCAGAGGGGGTTCTGGGTGGTCCCTCTCTGCTTGGTCTAGGGATGGAAGTCCCCTCTTTTAGGTTGGGTGGAGATGGGTTTTGGAAACACCCTGGATAGAATAACAACCTCATCTTGAGTCTCGTGGTCCTCCATAGCTAACTTATGATAATGTATCTGAATAGGTTTTGCTACCAAATCATTTATCAGCTGTTTCACAAAGTTAGTCAGCCTATTTAATGCCCAGGGACCAAAAGAAATAAGCAAAAATAACCCAATTAATGGTCCCAAGATGGGAGGAAGTAGGGTTGACAACCATGGAGAGGTTAAAAGCCAATTCTTGTACCAGCTCTCACCTTTCTCTTTCTCTCTCTGTCTTTTCTCAGGGCCTTCTCTGACCTTT